CCCAAGGCTCAGCCCCGCAGCAGCACAGCCGCCGGACCCGCGCCATGCCGGGGCCCACCAGCATCATGCAGGCACCATCCCCCGGCGCCAGGACTGGCCGGGAGCCCCTATGTCCCTGCAGCTGGTCCTCCTGCTGACGGTTGGTGCATGGAGGATGGGGCCTGGAGCCGCCCTGTGTCTTTTTCTCTCCCTCTTTTGTCTCCTGCCTGCCACCAAGGCCCAGACGAAGATCCCGCTGGAGACGTAAGTGTTTGCCTCGCGCCGCAGCCCCCTTCTCCCCGCGGCCTCCTCGGTCCCCTGGTGGCCTCCTCCCATCCCACCACCCGACCACCCCCTGCCCTCAGCCTCTTCGGGCTCCTCTGGCGCATCCGTCCCTGCTCCTGCGCACCCAGTGCAGCCTGCACAGTGCTCCTCATGCCGAGAGCACTGCCCGTGGTGGGGCGTTTTGGTGCTCCTCTACAGCAACAACAGCATCCTGGGAGGTGTTGAGACCCAGGCCAGAAGGCCAGGGCACAGGGGACGCGAATTCGGTTCCCAGCACTAGCGCTGAGATGATGCCTCATTTTGCCTGTTTTGCAAGCAGGCAATGATGTTCATCCACTTTAGTTAAGCACTTTGACATCTATTAATGCTCTGCATAATGCACTGGGCAAAAGGCAGAAGGCAAAAACAGTTTAAAGACAGTTTTCTACAAGCCCATTTCTGCTGTGACTTGTGGAGATTTGGTCACTGAGGCAAATTTAAGCAGCTTCAATTTAACACCTCTCCAGTTTAAGCAGAGTTGTTCTAGCAGGTGCTGGTTTGTAGCCTTCAAAGGATGCCATAAGGATACACAGCGCTGGTCAGGATCTGACCTCATGAGGCATATGGGGCGTTGGGTGAAGACACATCTCCCTGGCACGTACGAGATCCAGATTGTGTAGTGTGAACTTTCTTGCTCTTATTACTACTATGTATTGCCGGTACTGATCCCTCACGTTGGTTTGGTGCACTGCAAGTTCAAAAAAGCAATGGTTAGCTTGTGCACACGTATGTAGCAGGTGAAGGTGTAACACATGCGTATTTATGTTGGTGGATGGTGACTAGAGGAAAGAGGCCATAGCACCTTTTCTTGCTTGCTCCTATTCCATCTTACTAAAAATGGGGGGAATCAACTCTTTTCGAAGCTCTGGAGCGTACGAACAAGAAGCAGAGGCTGCACTGCAAGGCATTCACAGGCACGTCTCCTGCATGTGGCAGGCCTTTGGGTATGGGCGGTAGCAAACATACAGGGAATTCTGATGCTCCTTTCGCACTTGAGCTCTTTGGGTGCCTGCAAGGCATCGGGGTGCCCCACAGCCGTGTGCATGACAGGACATGCGAGTGGCTCCTCTGTCATAAGCTGCCGCTGCAAGGTGACGCCTACACTGGCAGTGAATCCCATCCCACAGCCCACCAGGAGGCTGACAGGTCTCGGCAAACTGAGTTTATAAAAGCCTCACCTTGTTAAGCTGATTTAGACAAGTTAAATCCTTTAAGGATTAAAAACCTGTCAGCAACACGGCTGGTAAAAGTTGTTGTGGGGCAGTTTCTCTGAAGGGGAAGAGCAGTGGGACAAGTCTGCATCAGACACTGGGGTTAGCTTGGAAAGGAGACGATGTTGTCCTCGAGTTTCAGAAAGAGATATGTCAGCTACGCTGACCAAAGTGAGCCAAAGTGAGCCTTTCCTGGGATTGAAAAAATGTGTTGTATTCAAAAAGTGCCAACAAGACCCTGATGCAACCAAACATTGCACTGACTTCTTGCCACTTTCAAGGGTTTTATCGAGGGGAATTGCAGGAAGCATTGCCACCGGCTCTACTGTTGGCTGCACCATCAAATCCTTCCTCTGCTCAGGGCCTCTGATATGGGTTTCACAGGAAGGATATGCAGGTTATAGAGGAGTCCTTAGCCTTCCCCGCACCTCGGCCTTCCTGTGAAATTGTCTTTGCTTCCATGTGGAACTGCCTTCGATTTACAGCAATCTCTGCATTTTCTTAAGGGCTTCTGTCGGTAAATATTGCGTGATGGTAAATAGGACTTTAAAAGTCCATCTGAAAGGAACTTTGCAGCAAAAGAAGCAGTTTGCCCCAAAATATATTTCTCTCTTGCTCTCTCTTTGCTCATTTCTCTGTAGAATAAAATTCAACCTCTAACAATTTCAGACTGTGTAAAGTAGAAAGCAACTTTCTGTGCCCAGAGTAAATACTCCATAGAAATACCTTTTGGCCTTGAAATCTGTAGCATTAAGAAGACAGCCTGTCCTTTCCGCTGTTTTTGCCACTGCATATAAGTGCAGGGATTACAGGCAGGCAATCTCTGCTCAAATCTTTTTCTGATGTGTTTGGTTATAATGTGTCAGGCTTTTACTACAGAGAAAATAGTTACGTCACTTCACAGAATTTGGAACTTATTCATGTACAAGAAAAAAAGAAAAAAACAATGGAAAAAGATCTTCTCTCCCATGGTACCAAAACCAGACCAACAGCTTTATTAATCCCTGGTGTTTCAAATCCACTCATAAATTTGATTAAAGCACGAAAGTTGCCCCTTTGAAAGAAATTTCACTAGAAGAATACATTGGCTAGGGGACAAAAGGGAGTAGGAAAACAGACCTGCTCTATAGATTACGCAAGGACATTTTGAGGACACAAAACTAAAAGCTTTTAAACACCAGCTGGGTTCAATCATAGTTAAGTGACACAAAGCTAAGCAGGCCTGTAGGGCTCACTATGTCATGCCTGGCTTCATGGCAGCGTACTCGGTTCCTCGCCAGCTTATTCAAATCTTTGCAAAACACACTCAGCTTTAACTCCCGCAGCGCAAAGACCTGCTCAGTCAATTATTAGTAATGTTTCTGAGGTGCAAGTTCAGCACGGAAACCACCTCCTCTTTTCTCCTGGCCATCACTCTGCTTATAAGCTGGTCATGGTGTTGGGCAGCTGCAAGTCTGGTGAGGGTTTGGGGCTGGCTGCTCAGCCTTTGCTTGTTAGGGTACTTGAAATATTGGGAAATGCTGGCAGGATGGGTGCAGACTGACCTGGTGTAGCCTCTTTCGACTGCCCCTCTCACCTCTGTGCATCTGCTCCTGAGTTCTGGGAGCCAGCAGCCTTAGATGAAATATCTGCAACCTGACGAATTTTAGACTGACCTTTTCTCTTGTTGTTTATGAAAAGACAAAGAAACCTATTTAAATTCAGCAGGTTGCCCTTAACCTTCCAGGACTCTAAGGTCACTCTCTTCCATGGCAAATAATTGTCTTTTAAATATGTAAATGCCAGTGCATTTCTGCCTCCTCACTTGCCTTCTTTTCATCTTCCACAAAATACCACCATATATTTTTAATTATCTGCTTTTGAGCCCTATCACGCAGGGCTCGAGGACGTTTGTGCCCTCTCATTCCTCTATTTCCCCTAACTTTTCAATCATTACTCTAAAGCTGCCCATCTCTGACCCTCTCTCTCCATGCCTCCTTCTTCCTTTTTGTCCTTCTTGCCTCCTTTGCCTCTCCCAAGGCGCGTGGGTTTGCAGCATGGCGCCTTGCAGAGCTGCTTCAAGGACATCAGCAGAAATACCGGCTCCAGAGCCAGGGTGGTAGCTCAAAAGTAGCTGTGGGCGGTTCTGCGCTGGCCTTCACACACGGCTCCAGAGCTGCGCCCCGTGGCCTCCGGCGGGCTGGGAGAGTGCTCCCAATCTGAGCATTCAGCACCTAGGAGACGGGCTTAGCAATGGTGCAATTGCAGAAATCCTAACTTTTTTCCCCCCGAGTTCTTCTGCTACTGGAAGTTTCAAGGTTCACATATTTAGGCTTCTTTTGCCATAGCCTCAAAGGCTAACAAGTCAACCTCCCTTTTCCTGTTTTTGTGAAAGCCGAGAATGCTGAGCAATCACGTGGCACCAGAACTGAAGTATTTCAGAAACAAGTAGTTCTGTGAGCAGCAGAGCTGCCTTTTCTGTAAAATTGTGTCTTGTGGTTAGCTTCTCTAGTGACTAGTAACTGCAAAGCTCGTATTGCAAACCCTTTTTCCTCAATAATAGCATCTTTCTGCTGAATCTGCCCATCCACACGCTCCTGTCAGAACTTAAGATCACTGACTGTCCTACCTTGCTGGATAGAAAAATTATTAGGGCTGGGAGGAACAGAGTCACATGCAGAGCCACAGACACAGCACAAAATAGAAAAAGGATCACATGTGCCTCTTTCCTTTCATCAAATAGGGTAAAAACAAGTCTCTGTGCTAGAATCACTACCCCAAGCCTCATGTTTAGGTTTTCTCTTTCCATAGTAAAAGGTGAGGAGACCTGAAGAACATCAGTTAATATTAGCATAAAACATCTCATACGTATAAGAGTTATAAACAAGCACCAGCAGATGGGCATCAAGTCAAAGGTCGACTTAGAGATCCTCACACCTCATGCCTCAGGGAATAAGTTGGTTACTATAAGAGTCAGGAAAGACTTTCATGGGGTCCCCTTCACCTTACAACCATTTGCAGCATGTTTCTTTCCCCTTTTTCTGTTTTCCTCTTTTTTCTAGGCTTGCTAAGATAACTCTGATATGGGACAATAAAACCTGGCTTCCTAGTAAACTCCTGTATTCTTTTTGGTCTAAGAATGAAATGAAGAGGCAAAAACTCTGGCTATCAAAATAGGATGCAGAACATGAAAAAAAACCCAAAAAAATACAAAAAAAAAATTGAGTTGTTCTTACTGATTTCAGCTGGTACCAGATCACACTCAGCGGTTAGAAATGAATGCCTTGTTGCCAATTGAGGAGTGATTATAAAGCGTACCTACTCCCATTGTGCCCTCTTTGGAGTCGGTGGACAGAGGTGCAGCTCAGAGCAGGAGCCTTACATGTGGTCGAAATCAGCCCCCCACAGCAGCTGGTTTGCTTTTGTTCACAATAGGGGAAATGAAACAGATAGACGATAGGCTTTCCTAGGCTCAAGTTAGCTGTTGTGATTCTTCCACCACCACTGTGCTGGCTTTGTTCCAGACCTTGTCTTAACGGTGGCTGTGTTATTCTGCCACAGAAATGGTGCAGTGCATTGAACAGTCAGGCCCTGGGGTTAAAGTCTGCTTTGAGCTGGGAGAAATCTATTGAAAGCCATAGGTAAGACTCTCTGTAAATAAATAGCATATTCTCCTAAGTGGAGAAGGCCATTTATTCCATTAAATAAATGTCTCCTAAGTGAATTCTTGTTAAAGAAACTGCATGTAGGTGGAGATGCCTAATGTGAATCATACAGCTGATTTCTGATGAAGTCTTCTGTCAATTAAAGCAGCCATCTATCCTGATTTGGGTGGCTTGGTGTTCTGGCTGCTCTTCAATGTCCTTATGTTTCCAATGCACTATTGCTATCATTGGTTATTTACAGGATGGCAGAAATGAGAGTAGTGTTTTACAGTGATGAAATACAGGATCTACTCTGGCATTATCAAGCCATTGTATCTCCACTGAGAGCAGTATCTTCATCTGGCTCACTAGCCTCTACAGCTAGTACAGCTCTAGGAACTGAAGGGGTGGATCTTGACAAATCCTTTTAGGCCTGAGATTTATTTCTGTTCAGCAGTCTTAAAAGTAGCTGTCTAGACCATCACCCTAGGCTCTTTCTGCAATCAGCAAAGATAAATAGGTATCTCCAGAGAGCTGTTTATTTTCACTCTACTAACACCAGAGGAAACCAGGTGATATGTAAGACCAAATGCACACAACTTTTGCACCTCTAAAGTTAGGTGAGATAAACTCTACCCTCTGATTCAACAAGTGGTGGCTGACAGTAACAAAACTCAATGTTGCTCCTTGCTGACTAGTGTCCCAGGGAGAATGTCCAAAATCAGTGATTGTGTCCCACCTTACAGCTTGTTTCACTAGCAGTTAGGGGAGAAAGCATTGTTGTTGTTGTTGTCACTTTAATGGGTGAGAAGAAATATGGGGGCTGTCATGCACAGGAAGACAGGGTTTCCCTGTTTGAGGAATTAAGAAGTTCTGCTGCTTTTGAGTTAGAAGTTATTGCCTATTTACACTGATTTTTTTCCTTTTGCCTTTTAGGGTGAAGTCTTGGGCAGATACCTTTGGTGGGGAGCTGTACTCCATTGTGACTAAGTATTCAGGCTCTCTCCTATTACAAAAGGTAGGCAAAAGCTGCAAGGATTTCCCTGCTTTCACGTGCTCTTCCCACGTAGCCTTCTAGACTTTCCCCTTTTCAGAAGACTCGGGGTGGAAAAAGGCAAAATATATAGGTCTCCAGCTAACTTTCAAAACCATGGGGGTTCACGTCCATGGGAACAGAGTGGTGGTCTCAACTATACTGAACTAAAGAAAACTTGACCTAACACTTCTGCTTTCATTAGCCGTAATCAAATGCCACCTAAATTGTCTTTTTTTTTTTTAGTACTTTTTTATGGTACTCCTCACACTTCTCCCTAGTCATTGTTCTGCTCCCGTGTACTGACTCTTCACTCCTCCCTTCCTAACTGCAAGTCCCTCCCTTCCTGTTCATCCCTCATCTGTGCTTCACCACCCAGCCTTCCCGCCTCTTCTGTGGCCCTCCAGCTGGTATTCCTGTTTTTCTGCTGCATCGTCTATCTTCCTCTAGGCATTCATCAAGTCACATCCCCCTTTTTAAATCCTGCCTTTAAAACCATCTTTCCTCACTTCCTCTTGGACAGGGTCTCTGGGACGGGTGTCTTGGCAGGCCTGGAAGCTGTGACCTCCAGAGGCAGATCTCTGCCTCTTTCCTGCCTGGGTCGCCCAGCTTGCTGGTCGAAGAACAGGCAGCACTGAGCTAAAGTCTTTGCAGACATTAAAGGGTGCAGCTCCAGGGACTTGAACTGAATTTTCCTATTTGCACAAGCAGATAATTTGTCCTACTACATTTTTGATTTCTAAAATCAGAGATGGATAGCTGGTGTGGGTTCAACACAATAAACAATACAGCCTGAGGTTTTCCTGTAACATAGCTAATAATTGTTAACCAGCTCTGACACAAGGAATTTACTCTAGCATTGCCTGCTCCTCTTCACTCTTTGTGAACTTTGTGCATTACTGCCAGCAGGGCTGTATTAATCAGCCTCTCCTAAGTGCTGCTCAAGAGGCCTGATTGCTGCCAAACACATGTGAGAGGATGTATTCCCTTCCCCATCTCATGTGGCCGTCAAGTTTCTTTTCTGTTTCTCTGATCCTTCTTTTCAACATAAGCCATGTATTGTCTCTTTTAGGGGTCTAATTTCTGTCCTCTGAACAGTAGTGCAAAACTAGTGCAAAAAGGTATGGTTTGACTTGCCTTGCTACTGGACCCTTTAACCCCCTGTCCCCAGCATGCTAGGGAGGAAGAGAGGCTGCTGCAACATTGCCTTTGCTAGGCTTGGCAGAGAACCGTCCTTAGTATTTATTGCAAAGGTGTATTCCTTGTTAAGAGGAATGTGCTGCTGTGCAATAAAAAAAACTGTCAGTACTGACATAGGTGCTTCATGGCCTAATCGTGAGGCAACTGTGATAACTCAGCAGGCAAAAATTTGGCCCTTAGCAATTTTAGTGATGCTTCTGCATTGCCTGCTCCTCCATGAAGTCCCTAGAAGGTAGTGTCAGAGGCGAAGCAACCTGAACAGCATCTCTGGGTACCTGAGGTCCAGTGGGCAGGAGATGGGGGGGTTATCTGGTACTCAGATATGCATCTGATACTGTATAAGTATTCGCTGTCTCACAGAAAGTCTATAAATACCAGTTTTTCTAAAAGATGGTAAGGGTGCCACCATTTCATGTGAGGAAATGCTGCTGCCAATGTCTTCTCCTGACTGCTTCAACTCAGCCAGCCTGGTGCTGCTCCTGTGGCTATTTCTACTGACAGATTAAGGTAGTTCACATTCCTTAAGGTCCAAATATTATTGTGAGTAAGGGGAAAAGAATTTAGCTTGAAAATACAAGCTTCATGAAAGGCAACAGCAGAGGCCAGGGAAGGCAGCTGTGGCACTGAGGTGGCTGTCAAGAGAGCTGTGTTGTATTTGTTCTCTGGAGACGTTGCACTCGGTCATTTCACCTCATTCTGTCCACATGGTATGTTTTGTCTCTTTGAACCTTAACCTCCTTGGGGAAGGGGCTATATGGGACCTGTAAATGATACTTATATTACTGCTAAGAAAAACAGTCATGACATCCAAATCTTCAACAAAATTTCACAAATGCCAGGGCTTTTGGTATAATTCACTAGAAGTGAAGAAAATTCTGACCAAAAAGAAGCCTGAGTCTAACCAAACCCAACCTAGGAATCACGCTGAGGTAATTCAAGGGAGAGCTATTTTCCCCTGGTGTCCTGACACACCTTTTGCCCATAAAAAAACAATCACATTTGCCTGCCCCAGCTCAGGTCCTCACAATTTCCCTGATGGAGAGGGGAAGGAAGGTATCTGCTTTGGTCTTGCACATGATGGAGCCTGGATGCTGCACAGAGGGACTTCTTAGCACAGTCTTTGGACACCACTGAGATGCCGTGTCACCTGTGACTCAGAGGAAATATCCATCAGTGAGTCACAGTTATCACTTCTAGTAGACAGGATAGATGGGCTTGATCCAGCCTAGCTCTGTTTATACTCTCCAGCAAAGAGTCATCTCCTAAATGTCTGTCTTGCCCAGCCCTGACTTTACTGAAGGTGGTTGTATTTAAGTAGTTTAAACAAATCCAGTTTGCCTGTCACCCTTTCCGTTCCTCTTGTTTTTCTGGGCTTGGAGAAAGAGGGGAGGAAGATTCGGCACACATCTCTTCCATCCCTCCCTCAGCCTCCGTTTCCTTAGCGAGCACTGGGTTGGACATCTTCTCACAAATAAGCTTCTTAAACCAGGGACCGTCCTGGAGATCTCTACCTGGTTCCCTGACACTTAGAGCGCTGCAGGCAAAACTCTTGCTAACGGGCAACCTTTTCATGCTCCTTGAGATGTCTCTCGGCAGACTGCAAATGGCTTTATTTAGATCAGTGCACTGGTACACACGTGGCAAGTGAGTCATCATGCCTGGGGAGCTAAATGCACCAAAGTCTAGACACCCAAGCATGTGTGTTCCCAAGACGCTTTTTGAATTTTGAGCCGTTGCCTCTTTTTCACGCAATATATTTCTCTTTGTGTGCTAGTACAGGCAGAGCAGTACAAGGGTGGGGAGTGCTATGGAGAGTGTCGTACTTGGATTCTTTCCTCAATATTTGTTTGTTGATGGTGGGCGCACTGACTTTGAGAAAATCCAAAATGAGTACATTTGACCTCATGTTCTCCTTTTGCCTAATAGGCCTGAAGTAACTAACTCATTGTTGCTTTGACAACCATAATTTTTCAGTTACCTAAATGCTGTGCCAGTAAGCCTTCTATTTCAGTAATTTTTAATATAAATTTCCTTTGGTGACTTTGGGTTTGTTTGGGGATTTTCTTTTTTTTCCGGAAGAAACAACATAGCATGTAGTAAACCCAAATGTTCAGTTTCCTCCTGGGCTGTATTTCTGCTAGAGATCCACTGAACCAGTAGACAGCTCTTGAATCTAGAAGGGCAGGTTTTCCCCCAGATTAGAAAGCATTAAGGAAGCCCTCAGGTGGCTCTTAGTCCCCATGCAGTTGCTATATCATCAAATCAAACTTCAGAGCGGTAGCAAAAGCTTAAAAGCTGTTTTGCATTGATGGCTGAAGCATTCGTTGTATTCCACTGAGTATTACAAAGCTGGGTGTGGAGGTGAGCTCACTCATCAGTCTGGTGTGGTAGCCTGGATCAGTGATGATGGATTTGTACTAAAATGCTGACAGTGATCTAGGACTGCCGAGGACAATACGGCTGGAGTGAAGGTGCTGCGTGAAAGGCTGAGTAGAAGGATGGTAACATCTCACAGAGGTGGTGACCAGAAATTGGTGGCCTGTGGCTCATTTGGTTTGTTTGCTGTAGTCCTCTTGCTGTTGTCGCCTAGGCAGCTACCAAAGGTGCACTCCTGAGATCTGGGGCCATGGACCGTAGCCGTGTTGGGAAGGCCTCACAGTGTTTCAGGGCTTCCTTCCAAGTGGAAAAAAACACCAATCAGCTTCAGTTATTTTATTTTTACTCTACTGAGTTAATGTTGCATGATAAATGTCTCAGAATTACTTCCTACTTCCTTTTGTAGCTGAGGCTGCAATTGCCTTCAGTGATGGATAGGACAGAGAGGACAGCAGGGTTTGGCTCCAGCTATGTAATTACTAGAAAGCACTACAAATAACTACATGGTGAGGAACAGACAAATTAAATAACTGGCATCAAGACATTTTTCTGGGTGAGGATGGAATGAATATCTTTCACACTCTTAATATAGTTTCATTAGCAGTGAGTAATATAGCACTGTGTACTTCAATGGGCTAAATTTCATGGAGGTGGGAATAAGAAAATATATTTGATGACATCCATATCTCTGTTTACAGATAAAACTGTAGGATACTGATTTCTGAATCTTTTGCTTTTAAATCACCACCCCCCTCCCTGTTGAAGGGGAATCTTAATGAATTGTTCCTACTGTTTTACATGAGTAAAGTACCTGATGAATGTGAAAAGACTTTCTGTTAGTTCACAAGCATCTTGTAATGGTTTGGTCCCTTTTCAATACCAGATCATACCAGCCAGTTTTCCTAAGCCTACATGTGATTCCTATGCTGTAAATTCTAAAGATTTGATAACCTGAGTGCTAAAGTCAGGTTGTGCTAGTTAATCTTAGCTGACGACAAGAACCTGTCTTGACATCTACCAAGTACTTTCAGCCATGGTATCTGATAATAGTACTGAAGTCCCAAGCATTACTCTGTTACCTACCTTTAGGAACTCTTGCAGTAACTATTCATTAATAGCAGATGACTTTAGTGGCAGGAATACAGATATAGAATGGTGTGCCACGTCATTTGTAGGAAACAAGCTCAAAGGGAATCTGAGCTCAAACTTAGTGTATTCCCTGAACCAGCTAAAATTTTGCAAAATTATTTTATGGTGTTTTCACAGCTCTGGCTAGTTCCCAGAGCTGAGATGCGAGTATGACATTAGTAGGCTGCTCATGATTGCTCATGATTACTTTTAACCTGTTAACCTCTACTTGTCAATGTGTCTAAGGCGCATTTAGAAATAATTGAGAGGTAAAGAGACCAATTCTTTTTAATTCAAGATGTGACCCAAAGTAACCGATGGTAGGTCACTTTGTAAAAAGCATTCTTGCTGCTGCAGTTCCCCTCTGCTCTCCCCCAATGGCTTTCCCAGGAGAGATTACCCTTCTCCCACCAAGGAGGGCCTGATTAAGGAGTAGCATGGCAGAGATCACTTCCCTCCCAATGACACCATGACATGGAGCTAAATGGGACAGGCAGCAGCTGGGATGTGTGCTGTAGTCTCATGATCAGCTGGGGCTCTTTGGGGGTGTGTGGGGGGGTGGTGTTACACATCTCATTTGGCAGCATGGTTATACTAACCTTTGCGCTCAACCCTTCCCTCCTCCCCCACCCATCCCTGCTACCCAGCTGCAGCAGAGAGGATACGACGAGGCCTGGCATTTTTTAATCCAGTAAAGCCCTTGCTGTTAATCACGCCAGACAGAGGGAACAGCCTCCCCAGTATGCCTGCTGCAGGCTCGATGCTGCTTCTATTTCTGGCTGACCTCCTCAGTCTGTCCCATCCTCAAGGCATTTCTGCCTCCGCATGCACTCAGACACCTTCCCTAATGATCAATGAGCTGCTTGAACAAAAGCAGCTTCACTTGCTCACCCTAAAGACATGCAAAGTCTCTCCCACTTTCTTCTCCTTCAGAAGTGTCAATAAAGTCCCTGCTGTCCCCTCACCCTTTTCACCTCCTCTTTTGTACCAGGGTGAGAAGCGCAGCCCTGGCTGAGATCACCGGGGTGCCGATACAACAAGAAAGGAACATGGCAAACCTTACAGCATGGAATAAACTTCCTGCATGAGGACGGAGGGGATGTGTATGGGCTGCAGAGAGAAATGATGATGAGGGACCAGGGAAATCTAATCACTTTCCTTTGCACTTCCAGGGAACGCTCTCATTGCCAAGGAGATAAGGCTCTGTCTTTTTCAAAAAAGGTTGAACACGTTGTCTCCTTTTGTAGGGTTTTTGGCTTTTTATTTTTTTCCTCTTTCTTTCTGCCCGTCTCTATCTGCTTTGGGATTCTGTGAGAAGAAATAAAGGCCTTTGTATCCAATCTTAAAATACCAGACTTAGGCAGATTGTAACTACCCAATTTGGGAGGGTACTCGGGCTTTAAATGCCTAGATTATATGACACAGTCAGAAAAACCCAGCTACCTCTGAAGTTATCGAACCCTCCTCCTTACTGCATCTCTGCCGGGGGAGACCTCACTAAGTAGCCACGCTTGCAATACCTAGTTATTGGGAGTCGCCTCTGCACTGCTTCTGGCCAAAATATGCTCATGTGCGCTGAATAAATAGCACAGCTCCTGTCTCACTGACTTTTCCTTGGCAATCTCTTGCCTAAAGCACTGAGCAGCCAACTGACCTGTCTTGCTGGAGAACTGACAAGATATGCTACAGATACGACTGTGCTGCAGGAGGAAAGGACCTAACTAGCGAGGCCCTCCCACCGGTGCCCTGGGGCGCGTACGACATGGAGGGCAATGTAATGACAGGACACAGCTCCCTCTGTCCCTCTGCCCTAAGTGAATCTGTCCCTGTGGCTGATTCAGTTTCAGGTCTGTGATGCATATAATGTTATTACTGATGTAAGCCCAATACACTTTAGGTTTTCAAAAGCTGGCCTTTTACTTTTTTCCCTGATTTTCAGGCACCAATGTTATGGCCCGTTATCTGCATGCACCCAAATTACGCGGTGGCGATGTAAAGACAGAAGAAGGGAATAAATCAGGCTAGTCCTTTCGACACATCCTTCTTCACCAAAGAGAAAAATGATAATAGATTGACCCCTTTCCTTGTGAGCTTCCTGCTCAGCAGGATTTTCTCCTTTCCCTCGGGTAGAAATACAAAGACGTGGAGCCAACTCTGAAGATTAAAGAGGTGGATGGCTTGGAGCTGGTGAAGAAGTTCTCGGAGCAGATGGAGAGCATGCTCCGCAGGAAGGTTGAAGCCGTTGAGGTATGATAGGGGGCTCTAGGAAGGAAGGCCCCTCCTGCCAGCCCCAGAGCAGCAGGCACTGGCCTTCTTCCTGTGGCAGGTGGGCATAGAGGTCACTGGAGGGCTTCCTCACCCCCCCGTCCCCGACACCTGCTGGTGCAGCTGACTCCTTCTGAGCTTTAAGCAGACACCAGTGGGAGGTTGTGAGCATGCAGACAAGGGAATACTGGCTTTTCCCTCAGCCCAGAGTAAGAAATAAGGAAACAAAGTCTAGAAATAAATATGAGGGAATGAGCACTTTTTGGGGGGAAGGAGGTTTAACTCTATAGTTGTTTAAACAGAAAAAAGCCTCCCACAAATGAAAATAAAGTTCATCCACTCTGGCCATTGAAGACTAGTAGCTTGTTTCAGCTTCGTGTGGCTCAAGGGAAAACTACTGCAGCCCTTGAACATGAGATGCAAATAATGCACTTGGATTTCCAGCTGTGTGCATGGGGAAACGTGGAGGAGGTGGTAAATATTCTTTAACTGTTGCTATGTTGGAGATCAGAGCAGGTAATTGTTACGGCCCCTCTTCTTGCACCTAAGGATCTAACGTATTCCCTTATATTTAGAAGTGTATTTCTGCAGCCCCAGAGCCCCGACAGCTTCAAGCAATTAATGTGTAAAAATGATCCAGAAACAGATGATTTGAATCTCAAAGCTAAATTTGGGCATGTTTAGACTCTGGGCTTTGGCCCATAACATTAAATTCATAGCCAGACTTTCCCAGTGTTCGAATTGCCTTATCCTTTGTGAAGCAGCAAAAAGTAGTTTTGCTGAGACTGCCACTGATTGTGGAATTCTGAAAACACGTACGTGTTTGGCTGGATTCCTTCCCAGTCTGTATGAAGAGAGAATTAGTGCCCTGAAGCATCAGACTGGAGAATGCCAGTGATTATTTTGGCTTCCATAAACGGCAGAAGTGTATAAATGGCCATAGCATCACTGAGCCCCTTTAAGAAATCCAATTGTGGTCTTTTGTCTCAGTAACAATAGGAGATTGATACTCCCCCAAAGCCTGTTTCTTTGACAAGGTATTGACACCAGGCTTGGTCTGAAATGCCTTTCCCATGGTTTTTTGGAAGGGCCTCTGGAAAATGAGATGAAATCTCTGCCTGTTTTTTCTCTAAATGGACATATGTCTGTTTGTATATGTATGTCCTGTGAGGTCTACAATTGCTCAGGAGGTTACTAGGGATTCTGGAGCAAGCAGGTGTGAATGCATTCAGAGAAATAGCTGTGAATGTCTTACAGGCTGTAAAGTTGCAGGACAGAATGACAAGTCCGCAGGAAGAGAGGGAAGGAGGAAAGTTTATAGCCCCCACGACTTTGTGCTGCGTGGACAGAGGTGGTCGCTGTCCTCTCGCTAACTGTGTTTAGTGAATAACTGATGCTGCTGGAAAAGCTTCTTGTGTGCTTCCCGCAGCATCCCTCATCTTTCTCTGTGTTTGCATTAGAGGCTGGTGGAGGCAGCAGAAGACGCAGATCTGAACCATGAGTACAACTCCTCACTGGAGGTAAGTTTATGCCTGTTAGTGACAAAATATGGCCCATACTCTCAGAGAGACGAGCCACAGACAAGGGCAGCAGCACTCACTCACCTCAGACTCTTACACGGGTTAGGAGCTTCCTTGTTTTCAGGGTCCTCAGCTCATCTTACTAGAAACCAATCTGACTAAGCGACTCCTTTGGCAGATCCCAAACCTAGTAACCCTGATCTAGACCTGCTTGCCTTGCCATCCTGTGAAAATGGGAGTGAGGCAAGCACAGCAGATAAGGGGATGGGATTTTGGCAGGGGGGAACACAGTATGACAGATGATTAGAAATGTTCCCTCCCTCCTGTACTGGCATATTTCACCACAAACCCAGCTTCTTAATGCTCAGCAG